GATAAATATTTCTATTACACTTTTTTCTAACAACACATTAATATTTTAATTATTCATATTAAACTGATTTTAAAAGAAGATTGTTTGACTTTCGTAATTATTAAAAAAATAATAGAATTATGACCTACAGTCAATAGCCCTTTGAAGCAATTGAATTTTCGATTTATGACATTTATATTATTGTATTGAGTTTTTTATTTTGTAATTTTACTGTTTCAATAAATATTATTATTAGAATTATTTTTAGTTAAATTTTACAATTTACTCAATTTATTCAATGAAATAATATTCTCATTCATTTCATTTTAACAATTTGTACGTAATTACAATATAATTTGTTATTTTATAAATGAATTTCAAAGATAATTATCATGACATGAAAATGTACATTATGAAATCAAAAAAAAACTTAATTAGCAAAAAAATGAAGTCCAAGTGACCAAAGTTCTATTACACTTCTATTACATTGTATTGACGTATACTTTCTTATTTTGCAACATGTCCCACTTATGTTCTTTTTTGTTAAAAATTACATCATCTTTTTCTCTCGCGAAATTTATCATATAAGTAGTAAACATTTTGTAACAAAATATTAAAAATGTCAATACCAATATTTTGCATGATAAAAAATCAAAATGGAATAAACATATGAATTACAAACTTAAATAAATTGTTTTTTATTTAATATTTTTTTTTTATAATAATTAATACAATTTAATGCCAATGTATACATATATATATTTTAGAGAAATAATTAATAAAGAAAGGATCAATACACTAAAATAATATAAATACAGTGGAACCTCGCTTAACGAGTTTAATCCGTTCCAAAATTTCCGGATATTGAAACATATTCAAAAATACAACTAATATGTGTACACAAATTTTAAAAAATTATTTAGCAAGCGCGCAATCTGGGACTTCTTTTCTCATCGTCACTCGTTATGCGAAACGTCGCACGTTAAGCAAATAATTTTTCTTACAATTAATTTTGATCGTTAAGCGAAATGCTCGTTATGCAACGAGATCGTTAAGCGAGGTTCTACTGTACGCAGATAATTCTTAAAAATAGGAAACATTATAATATTCTGGCTAACGTACTATCGACCTAAATCTTTCTACCCGGGGAGTTAGAGTTAGTTTACTATGTATATTCTAATTATTAAAAAAAAACACAAATAAAGTAACATTGTTTCTTTTTGTGTCATTATTTTTAATTTTTTATATATAATTATCATTACATATAATTGTTATTATATAAGGTGTAACAAAATTCACACAAGAAGTAATTTTTATAGAAATTACCGGTTTTTAAATGCAAATTGTATATTTTTATTGTTTTATAACATATTCAGTATAATGTTATGTATTACGTAATACTTTAAAAATAATTAAGGCTTGGTAGCTACAGTTTGCAATTTTCGTACAAAGTATGGTTAAACTAAAGATTAATTAAAAAGAAACAGAGAGACTGGATCAATTAGATAATCCAGTTTTTTGTTAACTAAATTGCAAGATATCAATGTGGACTACATGTCTTTCAACAAGACAGTGCCACATGCCATAAAGCCAGCGAAACAATTCAATTATGCACGAGTCATTTTTCAGATGATACGATTTAACGCAGTTGAACTTTTTCTTTGTTGCCAACAAGTCTTGAAGGAAGAAATTGAGCCACATTTATGCAAAAAGGTCATGGATAATTTCGACAAAAGAATGCGTCTATGCCAGCAAGCCTTTTACCCGATATGCTATACCATACATAATCTTATAAAATTACAATTTGCAATTAAAAACCTGTATTTTCTATCAAAATTACATCTTGCGTGAATTTTGGGACATCCTTTATAATTGTCATGTATATATAACTATATGCAAATTAATGAAAATGAAATTGTATCATAATCAAAACTTTCGAACAACAAAAATGTATAAATAAAACATTTCCTTTTTCTAATTAATCAAAGTGCGTAACATTTTATTGGATCTTATATAATCTATAGAGAAGTAAATCAAAAGTGACGAAAGTGTGCTTGGAAAGTAATATGAGCCAATTAAATTTTATATAATTTATTGTGATGATTGTCGTAATCCCGCTCATATACATTTATTACAATCTCTTTGCGCCAAGTAATTGTATCGAAAATAAAGAAATAAATGCAGCACGCTTATGCCGGTAATTTAAAGAAATATCTTAATCGATTGCACAAATAATCTTTATTATGTAATTAATCGTTTCTATTAGAAATATAATAACGTTCATAGAATAATACACAATAACACATGTAGATTATAGTAGGCGTACATCAAAGGACATTCCGTACATTAGGAGACACGAAGATTGCATAAAAGAGAAAACCTCGTCTGTAGTGAACACAAGAAGCTAACTAAACAGCATATTGACCTTCGATATAAATGATGCCATTTAGAGAAGATGTTTATGCGATATATTCGTATGTGCAACCTTTTGTAGAGATCGCATTGATTTAAATAATATTCGAGGAATTAGTAGGAAGTAATGCACAGATCGTATCCATTGCATTTAGGAAGTCATGCAAACACGAGGTTAAGAGCAAATAAATGAACAATAAAACAAGGATCGTGTGCGGTTGGAAGAAAGTTCGTGGCATTTGAGAATTTTTCATATTGGTGGAAACGGGCACATTCATTAGTGATCCCGGTTCGAGGAAACAGATATGAGAATTTCGAGATCACGATCGCTATTCAGAGCAATTCCTCTTCCGCCTCTCTAGTTTGAATATACGGACTTACGTACGCACGGTCCGCCCCGTCACACGCCTTCGGTATTTTCAACTTGATTGTTTTGTAAAAGCTTCCAATTCCGGCCTTTTACGTAACCAGACTCTCTCGCCTTTGATGTTTCAGCCGATCATTTTGCGAACTGCCATAGGTCCGATCCGAGATTCGATAGCTGCCTTCGAGATGCCATCAACTCTGTAAGACCCTACTTCAAAACAGGTAATTCCTTCTGATCTGCATATTCCTCGTATTACTTAATCCAAACTCAAATCTTAGGATTACCGCAATACGGAGTCAGACCTTTTGACCCTTTCCATGCTGATGAGGTGGTGCAGACAAGAGGCGGCCCGGGCTTTAATTACAAATTAACATTGAGGAACGTCACGGAAGCCGGATGGACGTCCTCTCAGATAATGCGATTCAAGTAATTTGCATTATTCATAACAACAGACGTAATTCATTTCTATACTTCTAGGTCCGACTTTAATAATAATTTCATTGAATTCTCGCACTTCTTTCCTGATAAGAAACTCACTGGTTCTTTCGAGTTCGATGCTGAAATGTTCGGTAGAAAGATCAGAAATAGCGGTAACTGGAATTTAGTTCTTTACGATTATACGCAAAATATGATGGTTACCAGAAAACCAAGAATGTCCATGTACGGTGAACCAATCTTCGACACCCCGTGCAAAGTAAACGTAGACGTGAGGAGCTGTAGGCATATGGAATTACATGTTTCCCATCTACTTGGAGGAAGACCATTAATGGGTAAGCATATATATTCATAAACAATAATTTCTTATAGACACAACAAATCAGAAACATAGCAAAACAATAATTTAAAACTATTTAAAACTTGTATTATTCAAATTAAATATTTCTACATCAAAATATCATAAACTTAAAAAAATATTATTGTTTCGAACTTCCTTTTAACTAAACAATATAGATGATAAATGTTGCAGTAAAATATATATGACATTCAATTAAGAGCAAATTCCAAATCAAAGAAGTTGCAAATAATTCGTTATTTTATAAAGTATCATCAAACCTCAATTTTTATTATTGGTAAGATTCGAACCTGTTACCTTTCGTATAAGATTTTCTAATACAGGCGACTATAGTCAATGATTAAAATTTTATTAAAAATGTTAACTCAAAAATTATTAAAAATTTGAATTCGAAATTAATACATTCAATTTATTTAATATAAAATTGAAAAATAATATTCATAGTAATTTAATGCTTAATGAAGTTAAGTTAAAATTTAAATATGTTGTAATAGAAGTTGCCTATCTCATAAGAATTAAAAGCTAGTGAATATTAAGCTAATTAGTAAAATCATGATTTGAGAATACAGTGGAACGTATGAGCATGATCAAAATAAATTGTAAAAGTGACTCGCTTAACGAGCGATGTTTCACATAACGAGTAACGAGGAGAAGTATCAGATTCGGTGCCTGCTTAATCATTTTCAAAATTTGTGTTCACATATTTGCATTTTTATATGTTATATGTGATTTTTTTTTGTGAAAAATTTAATAACACTTGCATATCTCCGAATAAAAAGCGAAGGAATAAAAATATGTTACAATTGTTACAATTTCTTGGTGAACATGCCTTTATGATTTTTATAATTTGCTGATGAACATATGCAGATGAATAATAGAAATGTAAATACGAAAATTGGTATACAATGTATTATCAATGCCTATCTTGTTGTAATCATCAATAGAGGAATGAGAACGTTCCAAGATTTATATGTGCATAACACAGCGCTTATCGCGGTCATTTTATTGCGGCGTTGTTATCAGGATGCAACCACCGGATGTGATTTTATCACTAAATCATTACAATATACAACTGTGTCGAAATTCTAAACGACCCAAACCGATTTATCATAAGTAATAAAACCTACGATGAGTAGTTTACGACTACAGTTTTTCCTCTGATTATTATTTTATCAATTTTCTTGTTTCAGAAAATATCGCAGATCGATTGATTAACGCAGCCTGGCCTCCAGGTTTCTATCTACTGAGACCCTTGATTGGTGATCTGGTCAGCACGGCCTTCACGAAAATCTTCAACGACAATTTCATGAACTTCCCATTCGACGAACTCATCAACTGAATCTAATAAACATGAAATTAAGATGACTTGCTCAAGACTTTCCCATAACGGGAAACTCAACGACTGACTATTACTAGTTTAGAGAATGAAAGAAATAGAAAAAAAAAACAATCGCTTAAAAATAGAATTAATTATGAAGCGGAAATGATAGTCATTTAACTGATAAGATTAATAGCGTTTAAATTGCGAAACGGGGAAAAAAAGCATGTGGACAAGGAGTTCTTGTATTTTGAGGAATGGGATTAACTGTGTATTGTAAATATATGTTTAAAGTCAATTAATTACTCAATTCTTTCGTTGCGTTGCGAGATTTCTTTATGTAATGTAATAAATGTTTTGTTTTTTATATTATGTGTGATGTGTCTAGTAGCCCTAACGCTATTAGCGACCTAAAACCGTATTAATAACGCAATCACGCGTAATAAATCTAGAACCGTTCCCAACATAAATAACCATCATTACTCATTAAGTCTCCATATAAAGGTGAGCAGTATACATATTGAACTTCCTGATTATGCCTTATCTGCGACAGAAGTAAGAA